CCAAGCTGGACCTGAAGAGCCCCAAGGTGCAGGTGACGGCCCCCGACGTGGAGGTGTCCCGGCACAGCATGGAGGTGGAAATCCAGGCTCCGGGAGCCAAGCTGGATGATGCCCAGCTGGAGGGGGAACTGTCCCTGGCTGACAAAGACGTGACCACCAAACACAGCAAGTTCAAAATGCCCAAGTTCAAGATGCCGTCCTTCGGGGTGTCAGCCCCAGGCAAGTCCATCGAGGCCTCGGTGGATGTTTCTGCGCCGAAGGTGGAGGCCGACGTGAGCCTCCCCTCCATGCAGGGGGACCTCAAGACCACGGACCTCAGCATTCAGCCCCCATCCGCTGACCTGGAAGTCCAGGCTGTCCAGGTGGACATGACGCTCCCGGAGGGCCACTTGCCCGAAGGAGCCAGCGTCAAAGGGCACCTGCCCAAGGTGCAGATGCCCAGTTTGAAGATGCCCAAAGTGGACCTCAAAGGCCCCCAGGTGGACATCAAGGGCCCCACGCTGGACCTGAAAGGCCCCAAGGCGGAGGTGATGACCCCCGACGTGGATGTGTCTCTGCCCAGCGTGGAGGTGGACATCCAGGCCCCGGGAGCCAAGCTGGACGGTGCACGGCTGGAGGGGGAACTGTCCCTGGCCGACAAGGACGTGACCGCGAAAGACGGCAAGTTCAAAATGCCCAAGTTCAAGATGCCGTCCTTTGGGGTGTCGGCCCCAGGCAAGTCCATCGACGCCTCGGTGGACGTGTCTGCGCCGAAGGTGGAAGCCGACGTGAGCCTCGTCTCCATGCAGGGTGACCTCAAGACCACGGACATAAGCATTCAGCCCCCTTCCGCCGACCTGGAGGTTCAGGCTGGCCAAGTGGACATGACGCTCCCGGAGGCCCACCTGCCCGAGGGAGCTGGCGTCAAAGGGCACCTGCCCAAGGTGGAGATACCCAGTTTCAAGATGCCCAAAGTGGACCTCAAGGGCCCCCAGGTGCACATCAAGGGCCCCAAGCTGGACCTGAAAGGCCCCAAGGCGGAGGTGACGGCCCCTGACGGGGAGAGGTCTCTGCCCAGCATGGAGGTGGACATCCAGGCCCCGGCGGCCAAGCTGGACGGTGCAGGGATGGAGGGGGACCTGTCCCTAGCCGACAAGGATGTGACCGCCAAAGACAGCAAATTCAAAATGCCCAAGTTCAAGATGCCATCGTTCGGGCTGTCTGCCCCAGGCAAGTCCATGGAGGCCTCAGTGGACGTATCTGCGCCGAAGGTGGACTTCAAGACCACGGACATAAGCATTCAGCCCCCTTCCACCGATCTGGAGGTCCAGGCTGGCCAAGTGGATGTGAGGCTTCTGGAGGGCCACCTGCCCGAGGGAGCCGGCATCAAAGGGCACCTGCCCAAGGTGGAGATGCCCAGTTTCAAGATGCCCAAAGTGGACCTCAAGGGCCCCCAGGTGCACATCAAGGGCCCCAAGCTAGACCTGAAGGGCTCCAAGGTGGAGGAGACGGCCCCCGACATGGAGGTGTCTCTGCCCAGCGTGGAGGTTGACGTCCAGGCCCCAGGAGCCAAACTGGACGGCGTGGGGCTGGAGGGGGACCTGTCCCTGGCCCACAAGGATGTGACCGCCAAAGACAGCAAGTTCAAAATGCCCAAGTTCAAGATGCCATCCTTCGGGGTGTCGGCCCCAGGCAAGTCCATCGAGGCCTCGGTGGACGTGTCTACACCAAAAGTGGAGGCCGAACTGAGCCTCCCCTCCATGCAGGGGGACCTCAAGACCACTGACCTCAGCATTCAGCCCCCTTCCGCTGACCTGCAGGTCCAGGCTGTCCGGGTGGACATGACGCTCCCAGAAGGCTACGTGCCCAAGGGAGCCAGCCTCAAAGGGCACCTGCCCAAGGTGCAGATGCCCAGTTTCAAGATGCCCAAAGTGGACCTCAAAGGCCCCCAGGTTGATATCAAGGGCCCCACGCTGGACCTGAAAGGCCCCAAGGCGGAGGTGACAGCCCCCGTCGTGGAGGTGTCTCTGCCCAGCGTGGAGGTGGACATGCAGGCCCCCGGAGCCAAGCTGGATGATGCACGGCTGGAGGGGGACCAGTCCCTGGCCGACAAGGACGTGACCGCCAAACACAGCAAGTTCAAAATGCCCAAGTTCAAGATGCCGTCCTTGGGGGTGTCGGCCCCAGGCAAGTCCATTGAGGCCTCGGTGGACGTGTCTGTTCCAAAGGTGGAAGCCGACGTGAGCCTCCCCTCCATGCAGGGGGACCTCAAGACCACTGACCTCAGCATTCAGCCCTCTTCCGCCGACCTGGAGGTCCAGGCTGTCCAGGTGGACATGACGCTCCCAGAGGCCCACCTGCCCGAGGGAGCCGGCGTCAAAGGGCACCTGCCCAAGGTGGAGATGCCCAGTTTCAAGATGCCCAAAGTGGACGTCAAGGGCCCCCAGGTGCACATCAAGGGTCCCAAGCTGGACCTGAAAGGCCCCAAGGCGGAGGTGACGGCCCCCGACGTGGAGGTGTCTCTGCCCATCATGGAGGTGGACATCCAGGCCCCGGCGACCAAGCTTGACGGTGCAGGGATGGAGGGGGACCTGTCCCTAGCTGACAAGGACGTGACCGCCAAAGACGGCAAGTTCAAAATGCCCAAGTTCAAGATGCCATCCTTCGGGGTGTCGGCCCCAGGCAAGTCCATCGAGGCCTCGGTGGACGTGTCTGTGCCGAAGGTGGAGGCCGACGTGAGCCTCCCCTCCATGCAGGGGGACCTCAAGACCACTGACCTCAGCATTCAGCCCCCCGCTGACCTGGAGGTCCAGGCTGTCCGGGTGGATGTGACGCTCCCAGAAGGCCATGTGCCCGAAGGAGCCGGCCTCAAAGGGCACCTGCCCAAGGTGGAGATGCCCAGTTTGAAGATGCCCAAAGTGGACCTCAAAGGCCCCCAGGTGGACATCAAGGGCCCCACGCTGGACCTGAAAGGCCCCAAGGCGGAGGTGACGGCCCCCAACGTGGAGGTGTCTCTGCCCAGCATGGAGGTGGACATCCAGGCCCCGGGAGCCAAGCTGGACCACACACGGATGGAGGGGGACCTGACCATAGCCGACAAGGACGTGACCGCCAAAGACGGCAAGTTCAAAATGCCCAAGTTCAAGATGCCGTCCTTCGGGGTGTCGGCCCCAGGCAAGTCCATCGACGCCTCGGTGGACGTGTCTGCGCCGAAGGTGGAGGCTGTCGTGAGCCTACCTTCCATGCAGGGGGACCTCAAGACCGCTGACCTCAGCATTGAGCCCCCATCCGCTGAGCTGGAGGTCCAGGCTGTCCAGGTGGACGTGAAGCTCCCGGAGGGCCACGTGCCCGAGGGAGCTGGCCTCAAAGGGCACCTGCCCAAGGTGCAGATGCCCAGTTTCAAGATGCCCAAAGTGGACGTCAAAGGCCCCAAGCTGGACCTGAAAGGCCCCAAGGCGGAGGTGATGACCCCTGACGTGGATGTGTCTCTGCCCAGCGTGGAGGTGGACATCCAGGCCGCAGGAGTCAAGCTCGACGTCACACGGCTGGAGGGGGAACTGTCCCTGGCTGAGAAGGATGTGACTGTGAAAGACAGCAAGTTCAAAATGCCCAAGTTCAAGATGCCGTCCTTTGGGGTGTCGGCCCCAGGCAAGTCCATCGAGGCCTCGGTGGACGTGTCTGCGCCGAAGGTGGAGGCCGACGTGAGCCTCGTCTCCATGCAGGGGGACCTCAAGACCACGGACATAAGCATTCAGCCCCCTTCCACCGACCTGGAAGTCCAGGCTGTCCAGGTGGACATGACGCTTCCGGAGGCCCACCTGCCCGAGGGAGCAGGCGTCAAAGGGCACCTGCCCAAGGTGGAGATACCCAGTTTCAAGATGCCCAAAGTGGACCTCAAGGGCCCCCAGGTGGACGTCAAGGGCCCCAAGCTGGACCTGAAAGGCCCCAAGGCCGAGGTGACGGCTCCCGACGTGGAGGTGTCTCTGCCCCGTGTGGAGGTGGACATCCAGGTCCCGGGAGCCAAGCTGGACCGCACACGGATGGAGGAGGACCTGTCCGTAGCCGACAAGGACTTGACCACCAAAGACAGCAAGTTCAAAATGCCCAAGTTCAAGATGCCGTCCTTCGGGGTGTCGGCCCCAGGCAAGTCCATTGAGGCCTCGATGGACGTGTCTACACCAAAGGTGGAGGCCGAACTGAGCCTCCCCTCCATTCAGGGGGACCTCAAAACCACTGACCTCAGCATTGAGCCCCCTTCCACTGAGCTGGAGGTCCAGGATGTCCAGGTGGACATGACACTCCCGGAGGGCCACCTGCCCAAGGGAGCCAGCCTCAAAGGGCACCTGCCCAAGGTGCAGATGCCCAGTTTTGAGATGCCCAAAGTGGACCTCAAGGGCCCCAAGCTGGACCTGAAAGGCCCCAAGGCGGAAGTAACGACCCCCGACGTGGATGTGTCTCTGCCCAGCGTGGAGGTGGACATCCGGGCCCCAGGAGCCAAGCTGGACGGCGCACGGCTGGAGGGGGAACTGTCCCTGGCTGACAAGGATGTGACCGCGAAAGACAGCAAGTTCAAAATGCCCAAGTTCAAGATGCCGTCCTTTGGGGTGTCCACCCCAGGCAAGTCCATGGAGGCCTCAGTGGACGTGTCTGC